CTATACCATTTCAGACAAATGATTGTCCAATCTCTTCTTAAAGAGTGTTAGAGCACCCACATGTTGGAGTGTTGGAGCACCCACAATAGTGTTGGAGCACCCACAACAAACCCTAGACATAAACCATCAACAAATTAAATAATTTGTTAGTAGCTTATCTAATAAATGGAATCTCAGTCCAGCTAAGGTACAGAAATCCTGTGAAGAAGACATCCAGAACTTCCAAATATGATCTACCTTAATGATCTCCGGGGTCTGTAATCTCCTATTCTTTCCAAATGTTGTACCTTACTGCTAATTCTTGTATTAAAAGCTTCTTATGGAGAGCTATGCAATTCTTACTTGCTCTGTTGTAAGGGTGTTGACACCAAGGCTGAGAGACAGAGGTGTGTTAGTACCCAATAACTCAACGATGGAAATTGGATTTGATTTTTACCGCATGCCATGATGATATCTCTCTTAAAAATAGCAGAATATAGAATTACAGAGCTGGAAGGGACCTTGGAGGTCTTCTAGTCCAACCTCCTGCTCAAGCAGGAAACCCTATACCATTTCAGACAAAAGGTTGTCCAACCTCTTCTTAAAAAACCTCCAGTGTTGGAGCACCCACAACTTCTGGAGGCAAAGTAGCAAAGAAATTCCCAAGGGGATTTCACATTTTGTGCAATCTGTCACTGCTGATGTTGTTGGAGAACATTATGCATGATTTATCGTAACGTGTGGCTCCTGCACTATTGTTCTCAAGAACAATGACCTAGTTAATAAATTGTTCCATTTGTATGGGGTTTACAAATGAGTCTCCAACAGTATAGTTGGTCTGCACCAGAAGAGCAACTTTTTCCGGCTGTCTACACGAGCTTCCCGCTCTGTTCCTGGAGAACACAAATCCTTTATATCGGGGGTCCCCAACCTCCGGTCCATGGACCAGTACTGGGCCACAGCATGCCAGCAACCGGTCCACACAAATAAGCAAAGCCCCATCTGCGAGATGCAGGCAGTACACAAAACCACGCCCCCTCCGATCCGTGGAAAAATCTCTCTCCACGGAACCGGTCCCTGGTGCCCAAAAGGTTGGGGACCTCTGCTTTATATTACAGTGTTAAATGTTCTCAGAACTGAAATAATTCCAGGTCCAGCACAAAGAATCTATTTTTTTTTAAATTACAGAAACAACATGGAAACTAGTTCCATACTACACCCACAAATCAGGAATGTAGAGAGTGTGTGGGATGAGAGCTATGCTGATTTTGTTTATTCCCATCCATCTTTCCCTGATTAGCTTCATTTGTGTGTGGTTTCCTCCAGTTCTATATTTTTCCTGCAGTAATGAAGTGAACAACCGCCCATTCATGGTGGACGGGCTTAGAACGGTAAAAATAGATACTAGATATATGATGATTCAGATTCTATATATGTCTAAGACGTGGGTATTTAAAAACTATTTGCCCCAGGCAAATTCATTTGGAGGGGGGGGAGGTTAAAAAAAAAGTCTAAATTGTGGCTTCACTTGTGCAATCATTTTGTAGGAGGAGTGGCAGAACCTGGGGGTGGAGTGAAAATAAGCATCAGCCTAGAATCTGTAACATAGCCACAAATGAACTCATTTGAATCCCATAGACCCTTATCATGCTAATACTGAGCAACAAAGATGATCAGGAGACTGGAGGCTAAAACATATGAGGAATGGTTGTTGGAATTGGCCATGTCTAGTTTAATGAAGAGAAGGACGAGGGGGGACATGATAGCAGTCTCCCAGTATCTCAGGGGCTGCCCCAAAGAAGAGGGAGTCAAGCTGTTCTCCAAAGCACCAGAAGGCAGGACAAGAAGCAACGGATGGAAACTAACCAAAGAGAGAAGCAACCTAGAACTAAGGAGAAATTTCCTGACAGTTAGAACAATTAACCAGTGGAACAACCTGCCTCCAGAAGCGGTGAATGCTCCAACACTGGAAGTTTTTAAGAAGAGACTGGACAGCCATTTGTCTGAAATGGTATAGGCTTTCCTGCCTGAGCAGGGGGTTGGACTAGATGACCTCCTAGGTCCCTTCCAACTTTATTATTATTAATCATCATCATCGCACAGTCAGCCAGATGTTCAGACTGGATTTGGCATTTTTGTCTACCTATCGAGTCCTTCCCAAGGACCTGGGATAGGCAGATGTGGATGTTTGATGGTATTACAGATCTCGTCGCAGGATGGAAGCAGTTCCTAGTAAGGCCGCCTTTTGCAATTGACTAATGGCGAATTTGTCAATGCCAATGATGGTGTTCAAGTGGTGCTCCAGTTGTTTTGGGATTGCACCCAAGGCGCCTATTACTATTGGTACTACCTTTGCTTGCCTTTGCTACAGTCTTTCTATTTCTATTTGTAGGTCTTTGTGTTTTGTTATCTTCTCCAGTTCTTCTCCTCCTTCTCCTTCTCCTTCTCCTTCTCCTTCTCCTTCTCCTTCTTCATCATCATCATCATCATCATCATCATCATCATCATCATTATTAGTTGAGAAGATGCATAGGCTGTTTAGCAATGAATCAGTTTAATTAGATCTTCGGGTGTGGAGCTGATCTTTTTCACCTGACAATTTTAACTTTTTGACATCTCTTCCCGCCCAAAATATGTACCTCTGGCCTCTGGATGAGTTCAGTCAGTTGCTTTAAAAAAAAAAAAAGGGGGGGGGGAGCCTAAGACGTACTTTTTCCTTTAATCCAGGCTTAGAGTTAGAACTGAAAATGGATCTAGAGCTTATGAGTGAAACATTATCATTACCTTTGGGGGTTTTTTTTCACCAATGAAACTGATAATAGAAAAAAAATGTTATCTAAATGTACTCTGACAGATCAAAAGTATTAGGAAAATGACTGAAGACACTAAGGAGAAAACATTGGAGATACAGGGAAAACTGGAGAAAAGCAAATATCAAATTGAAAAGGAAAGAGAAAGCATGAAAGACCTTATCAAGAGACTGAGGAACTTTTTGCTGGGTAAATGTGCTATTATTCTTTCACTCCCATTTTCACTCCATGTCACGCAAAATAAATTCAGCATAGCCCGCACGTTAACAAAATAAAAATGGTATTATTTATATCAACTGTAGCCCATTTTTAATTAAACCGATTTAGCTCATACTTCAGCAGCCATTTGTACCAAGAATTGACGGTTCAAAGTAACTCAGGTATGTTGTAGCACAGTGATGGTGAACCTTTTAGAGACCGAGTGCCCAAACTGCAACCCAAAACCCACTTATGCATCGTCGGGTGCCGGGTGGGTGTGGCCCATTGGCTGGGTGTGGCCAATTGGGTGGGCGTGGCTGCGGTGGTAACGGCAGACTGGGTGGGACTAAAAAGTTCAATCAATCAATTCCAACTTTACAAGATCTTTTTTTTTCACGCGAGAAGTTGAAATTGACTGATTGATTGAACCTTTTTTTTTTGCACACGGCGGCGGAGGCCTAAAGCGAAAAGGTTTTATAAAACCCAGCTGAAGGCCTAGGACTGGGGCGACGGCGCGCGTGCCCACAGAGAGGGCTCTGAGTGCCGCCTCTGGCACCCGTGCCATAGGTTCGCCACCACTGTTGTAGCACTATAAAAATGGAGGGGTGTGTGGTATGTATATACACAAACAGTATACTAATAAATAATATACTAATGTCTATATACACAAACAGAATACTAATAAATAATTAGCTGCCCAACTTTTATCCATAATGCTGGTAGAGAAATTCTGGCAGTTGAATTCCACCCATCTTAAAGTCGCTGAGGTTGAGAAACATTGATCTAAAACAATGCACCCAAAAGAACAATTAGATCATAAAACATTATTATTGTTAACGGGTGGTGTGGTGGTGAGAATGCAGTACTGCAGGCAAATTCTGCCCACCGCCTGGAGTTCGATCCTGATGGGGCTCAAGGTTGACTCAAGTCTTCCATCCTTCCGAGGTCGGTAAAATGGGGACCCAGATTGTTGGGGGGGGCATAGGCTGACTCTGTAAACCTCTTAGAGAGAGCTGTAAAGCGCTACGAAGCGGTATATAAGTCTAAGTGCCGTTGCTATTTCATAGCAATTTGGAATGACTTATTATACAGTAATGGCCAAAATTGTGGAAACCTTTTGGGAAAAGTGTATTTTTGAGGTTGGATGGCTAATAACACCACTTTCTTTTTGGAGTAGTACCATAAAATTATATATCAATGGAAAGATAATTTAATCAAGAATGTAATGCAACAAAGTTTGTTCAATTATCTGTACTGTATTCTATGAAAAGTTATAGCCAAAGAACCAGAAAAAGGAAGCACAACTTGCTTAGGTTGATCTCAGGTAGCTTTCCTTCATCTGATGGTAGCCAATGAGCATGAGTGTTTAGAGGGCCAATCAGGTGTCATCATGTTTTGGCAATGAGCCAATCAGATCACAGTAGAATTCAGTTTTGATGTCACGTATTGAAGCTGAGAGGAGGACATTTGTCAGTGTGTTATGTGATGGCTATCAAGTCGGTTAGGGTTTTTTTGTGTTCTTTCATTTAGTGAGCTTGTCAAACGTAATAAAATTAAAGTCATGGTGCAAAGAGTTGACTGGTTTCCCAGAAAGCGATGTAAAATAGGATTATTAGGTGAACAAGGCTACCGTTATAAAGAAATTAGAAGACAAATGGGTGGAAGCTTAACCAAAGGTGGCATTTCTACTGTACACTTTTCCCAAAAGGTTTCCACAATTTTGGCCACTACTGTATGTATGTAGGTAAAGAAGATGGCATCGTAGCTTTATTGACTGGTGGTGCGATGGTTAAAGTGCAGTATTGCAGGCTAACTCTGCCGACTGCCAGCAGTTCGATCCTGACGGGGCTCAAGGTTGACTCAGCCTTCCGTCCTTCCGAGGTCGGTAAAATGAGGACCCAGATTGTTGGGGGGGGGCATTTGCTGACGCTATAAAATACTTAGAGAAGCAGTATATAAGTCTAGGATGCAAAGCAGTTGGCCCTACATGATTCTCTGTTTATTTTTCTAAGAGGAAAGTGCCCCACCTGAGGATATAGAAAAAGTTGCAAATTATGTTCTGGGCATCAAGATGCACAAGGGGCCTCAGGAACTGCCAGACCTGCTCAGCAACCTCCAGAGTCTCGTGACACAATGTGAGGACAGCACGGAATATATCAGAAACTTAAAGAAACCCAAAGAAGAGGCAGAAAAGCTTTTGAAGAAAGCCAAAGAAGCTGAGTAAGTACGGTGTTTTCTGATTTGTACGGATAGAAGAAGCTATTTGTAGCTCAGGGTTGAAATGAGGGGTCCTTGGTGCCCTCTGAGTTGGTGGTTTTCTTGCAGACGTTTCATGACCCAACTAGGTAACATCATCAGTGCTAGAAGAAAGGGGCGGTTGTTGAGAGGAGGAGGAGGAGGAGGAGGAAGAGGAGGAGGAGGATTGTGGGGTCCTTGGTGCCCTCTGAATTGGTTGTTTTCTTGCAGACATTTCATGACCCAACTAGGTAACATCATCAGTGCTAAAGGGAGTGGCTAATGAGAATAAACCACACTCCCTTCAGGCACTGATGATGTTCCCTAGTTGGGTCATGAAACGTCTGCAAGAAAACAACCGGCTTCAGATAGCATCAAGCACCCCACAGTCCATCCTCCCTCCCTCCCTCTTTTCCTTCCTTCCTTCCTTCCTTCCTTCCTTCCTTCCTTCCTTCCTTCCTTCCTTCCTCCTCCTCCTCCTCTCCCTCCCCCACTCTCTTCTAGCACTGATTATGTTCCCTAGTTGGGTCATGAAACGTCTGCAAGAAAACAACTGAGTTCAGAGAGCATCAAAGACCCCACAGTCCGTCCGTCCTCCCTCCCTTCCTTTTTTCCTTCATCCTCCTCCTCCTCCTCTTCTCCCTCCCCCGCTCTCTTCTAGCACTGATGATGTTCCCTAGTTGGGTCATGAAACGTCTGCAAGAAAACCACCCAGCTCAGAGAGCATCAAGGACTCCACAGTCCATCCTCCCTCCCTCCCTCTTTTCCTTCCTTCCTTCCTTCCTTCCTTCCTTCCTTCCT